ATATCAGAACAAGTTTGTTTAGAAAAGTAAAAAAAATAGTAATAGCATTCTGAGATCTTACTTACTTTTCTGCACATAGGACAAGAGAAATGCCCATTGACATGGCTACAATTTTGGAGGATAAGAATCTTTTCCAGGCATTTTTTGCAGAAATTATGCGCACAACAAAGGACCAGCACTGGGGGAGTGAACAGTTCTAAGCACACTGGACATGAGAGCACCTGCATCAAAGTTTCCATATTCCTGCACTCAAACAGATAAAGACCAACTGTAATGTTCTTTTCTAGTTACATTTAGTTACATTCTGGAATGTCACTCTATGACTCATTTCTCACAGTAACTCCATAGCAACATAAGCCAACAGTAACCCCTCAGTTTTTAAAGAAGCAAGATCTAATGAATCATGGAGATGTAAATTACATTTGTATATTAAATAAATTATACAATAATGGTTACATAACTAAAGATTTTACAATTGACTTGGAGCTAGATTGTTCATCAGTGAACAGAGCCACTGAACTCAATGAGACTTATATTACTGTAATCATCATTAATTTAACTTCCTTTGTTCCATTGTAGGGATTGCTAATTTGTAATTTCCTGTTAGAGAGAGCAAACAGTAAGCAGTTCAATTAAACAGTGGGTTGATGGATTAGTGCAGCTAATGGCACCCTCGATCCGCTGTCTCTGTAAGAAGGCTCCAGGTGGAAGCTTAAATTAAGAATTATAATAAAAAATAAATATTGGTTGTCAAAAATATGCATGTCAAAAACAATGCTACAATTTTGGCATCTGTCAAAGTGCAAATATAGAAAAAAATAATTTGGCCACTTGCCAAGTATATTTTTTTCATTTCAGAGAATAAATGGATAGTATCCAATGTTAGTTTTGTAATAGGGAAAAGGAGTTTTAGTCACTAGACTATTTTTGTACTTTTACACATCCAATTTTCACTTTCTCCTAAGTGGCATTTCTGAGGTTTCTGGGATTTTCTTGAAAAGGTGGTTTATAGCACCTATCTGCAACATCTTCAAGCAACTTTTTTTTAAGGACTACGAAAAGCTTATGCCTTTTAATAAAAATTGTTAATCAAAAAAGATGCTAGCAGCCTCCTGATCGTTTGCCCCCTAGACTAGTGTGGCTTTTGTGTTCCTAAATTTCCAGGACTCGGTGGCAATCATCCCCAGGTATGCTTAAGGTATTGCAGACAGGTGGGAAAAACTGGATGCTTTCCTAATTCAAGAGCAAAACATCCATTGAAGCCCAATTCAATGCAGGAGGTTAGAAGAAATGCAGAACCTGCCGTCTCCAGATATTTCTGAACTATAATTGCCAACAATTCTAGAAAGCAGGATCAATGTTGAAGGATGTTAGCTTATATTCAGCACCTTTCAAAATCTGCACATCACATGTATTGTTTAGAGTAGTTTTGTTTATCTCACATTTAAAGGTGATGTCTAGGATGCTTCCCGATATGACAATTGCACATCAAAGGAATTGCATTACTTGCATCACAAAAACTATTTCC